CCTCCCCTACCTCTCCTCTCCCCTCTCCTACCTCTCCCTCTCCCTCCTCCCCCTCCCCTTTCCCTCTCCCCTCCTACCTTCCCTCTCCCTCTACCTTCCCTCTCATTTCCCCCCTCCTCTCCCCATCGCCATCTCTCCCTCCCGTTTTAACACGGGGTAAATGAGGTTAACTTGTCGTTGGCTTCCGCGTGGAGGAAAAGCCGGTTTTCTCGTCTAGGCGTTTTAATGATGGAAATTGATTGACTGATGACTTGTGGGGGGTGAGGTTAGGGGCTGAGGAGGTGTGTGGAGGTATTGAGTGAAGAGGTGTGGTGGGGAGTAGAGGTGTGGTGGGGAGTAAAGAGGTGTGGTGGGAGTAAGAGGTAAAGAGAGTGTGGTGAGTGGTGTGAGGTGTGGTGGGGAGTGTGGATAAGAGGTGTGGTGGGGAGTGTGGATATAAGGGACTGTCCAATAAGCTATAGTTTTAGCTTATGAGGAAGAAAATCTGAATCTGAAATTATTGAATGTATATTATTTCTGTCTACATTATTATTATTATTATTATTATTATTATTATTATTATTATTATTACTGAGTGTTTGGAGTGTGTTGGAGGACAGAAAAACCCAACCTCTAACACTATTGAAGGAGCTCCTTTTTGTGTGTTTGAGTGGGTGGGTGGGCGGGATGGGTGGAGTGGGTGTGGACGTATTGGGACGTTGGGTGTGTGTGGGATAATGACGTTACAGCTCCTTTGATGATATTTTACTGCTGAACTGACTATTTCCTTTTGCCACATCTAACGACACACTCAAGCAGCTTCTCCTTCTTGAGCTGCTGCTGGGGTGTTATGTTTTGGGGGGAGGGTGGGAGAAGGAAGGATAAGTAGGAGGAAGAGGAGGGAAGGAGGAAGAGAAGTGGAGGAAGAGGAGGGAAGGAGGAAGAGGAGTGAAGGAAGAGGAGAGTGAAGTGGAAGAGGAGATGGAGGAGGATGAAGAGAAGGGGGGGGAGGTGAGGGAAGTGGAAGAGGAGATCTTTTACGATGTGTTCTCCCACACAATTTCTAACTTGTTAAAAATAATTCATATTGCTTTATATCCTTCATTACCGACACGTGAATATTTCTGTACTTAATCTGCTGCCATACCTAAAGCTTTAAAGGTGTTGTGGTACGTGAAGATCTGGAGTACAGGTGTTAGAATAGTACATAAAGACTACAGGTGTTTGAGTACATGAAAATCAGCAGTACAGGTGATGGCGGTTTTGGAGTCATTACCAGGAAGGCGCGCTGAAGCGGAGGGGGATACCAGGCCGCGTATTTTGAGAGTACACATTCAGTTACCCGTCCCGCACCACCACGGCAAATATTGTTGTTGTGAACCGCCACGGAAACTGGATTCGAGTCTGAGAGAGAGAAGGGAGAGAGAGGAATGCGAGAGAGAGGAGTATGAGAGAGAGGAGAGAGTAGTGGTGAGGGAGAGTGGAGCCTGGAGGTATGGTGGGGAAGACGGTAGGGGGAGAGGGAGGGGAGGATTAAGGCGAGATATAATGTAATTTCGAGAAGCAACACGTCCATAAACCGTGTGTAAGCGACCCCCCACGACCCTCTGCGATCACGAACCAGCGTTGCTAGTGAGGCATCCCCCTGCTACCACCAATACCTCGTTAATTCTACCCGCGTCCCTCGCTGCTCCGCGCACAGGAGACAATGCCTACTGCCCAGCTAGACCATCAGGCTCCAGGTCACGGTAGAGGAAACCAGAAGAGGTATTAGAAATTTTACTTCTACTTTTGGTTAGTTATCTATACACTGAGCTCTATAGGTGCCCATTTTCCTCTAGTTTCCTCCCTTATGTGATTCTTCCTCGTTTTCTGTCCCTCAAGAATTACCTCGAGCATTTTGTTGTCGCTCTCACTTGAATGTTAAACACAAGTCATAAACATAAACCATAACACCACTAGAAAGGGTTTTATTTGCTGGATACCTTGGGGATATGTTTTAGGAAGTAGCCGGAGGGATTTCGAAGTGCAGAAGTGGTGGCCGCATAAATGACTGTGCTCAAAGTTAAAACAAATTGAAATAACAGTTACTCTTAGATTTTACACCAAGCACTTAAATACAGTGTCTCCGTATATATCGATTTAAAGCCGTGTCTCTCAACGTGAGGTCAAACACTGTAGTTCGTTTCTGCGTTCAGTTTTCACACAAGGAAATCCACGCAACTTCATCTACGTTTAACACAGAGCAACATCCATCCATAAACTGGGGGAAGGGACTGTTGATAAGTTCTCCATATCTTAAGACAACACAGACCTCCCTGCGTATCATATGTGACAATTGGAACATTTTAAACTTGAACAACTTCCATGATACGATACTCTTACTCGTATCATCAGCACCAGGAAGGTTAGTAAAATAGTAAACAAAAAAATAGTTGTCCTCATTTCAAATACTTATCAGGTTGTTGGTTGTTTTTCGCCAAGAAGTGTCGAAGGTTTTTAGAGACTGTGACGTGAGGGGGTCAGTGGTCAGGTTCTTCAGTCGTGTTTGGTTGAATGTTTTTGAGGATTTTTTCTTTTCATCAGCCTCAAGTTGGAACTCGTGCAGATCTTACAGAGAGAGAGAGCGAAACATCTTTCAAAATCAGCTCATAACCTATAGTTTAAGCAGTGAACAACCAACAAGTCAATCGGTCTTAAATTTTAGCTGAATTGTCAGGCCTCTTCGACAGCCTGGGCGGGGGGGAGGAGGGGGGATACAATGCCTAGTGCCAAGATTGTTTTAATTCATCTCTGTTGATTGGTTACAAAGACTGTCTCATTGTGTGTCGGAGAACATTGTTTAAATGATTGAAAAGTTTCTTAGACGGTGAAAATATTGATCCACACTGATTACTCATCATTGTCAGTTATGATTAGCAATTAGGTACATTTGCGATGCGAATCTGGTGACTGTTGACTGAATGAGACAGAGAGATTGGGGGGAGTGGACGAGAGAAAGGATGATGATAGTGTATAAGGAGAGGTTGGATGGTGAGAGGAGGAGGGAAAGAGTGGTGGGTAGGAGAGGATGAGGGAGGGAGGAGAAGGTGGATGGGAGAAGGGTGAGGAAGGGAGGAGGATGAGGTGCGTGGGAGAAGGATGAAAGAGGGAGGAGGATAAGGTGGGTAGAAGGAGGGTGACGGACGGAGGAGATGGTGGATGGGAGAAGAAGGGTGAGGGAGGGAGAAGGAAGGAGTGAGCGACGGTACTTCAGAAAGATCACTTGGTAGATAACATTCTCTAAACGTAGAGGTTCTTGTAGTGGACGTCAGGAGGTGGAGCCTGGACACACCGTCTCACTTACCTGGACAAAATACTCCTTACCTGCTGACGAGTTCTTAATGAGCGAGAAGCGTGTTTTACCTGCTGTTTGTAACTTTCTCTCTCTCTCTCTCTCTCTCTCTCTCTCTCTCTCTCTCTCTCTCTCTCTCTCTCTCTCTCTCTCTCTCTCATGTCTATATATTCTAATTCACTTACCTTTAGTTTTTAATTGAAATTTTACTTTACCGCCTGTGTGTGTGTGTGTGTGTGTGAATTACTTTTCCAAATGTATAATATTAGGTCTTGTATACAATACCCCCTACACCCTAGCTCTGAACCTCACCCCTACACCCTAACCTTACACCCTATTCCTAGGTTTAGTCCTTAATCTTACACCTTAGCCCAGCACCACACCCCAGGGAGGGCGTAGCGGTGGTGGGTGCCTCCTGAGTGACGGGCAGGAGAGTGTTATCAACAGCCAGGGTGACACACGCAGCCACGGTGATCCATCACACAACACAACCAAGGTGGAGGAAAAAAAACAAGATGTTTGAGCTCATCCACGGTACTGGTGACCGGCTAGCACGCTCTCCCAACACTCTGCCTCCTTCATCTAAGTCTAAGATATCTGCCGTCTTTACCGTCACTTGTAAGACATCCAATGGAGAGATACATTGAGCAAGGGACAGGGATGATCAAACGTGAAGTGTGAGATTCAAAAAGGAGAGACAGGGAAAAGACAGGACCGATAAAACATCTAACAAAGTAAACTCAACAAGGAAAGTCAATACAGTATCAGGGAAACAGACAGGAACGATTGGTTATGAATAAACCATGACGAATTGTTGAGGAACTCTTGGCTGTCATACCGATGGAATTTCATCATTTTTCGAGCCCAGGACGGCCATGTAGGGGTGTTAGGCGCCAGGCTGAGAGAAGAGAAAGGGGGGTTAAGGGGAGTTAGAGCTTCAGGGGGTCATCAGGGCCGTGAAGCGTCTTGCACCATCAAAACCTTCTCAAACATAAACAAACACTGGGTAGGTTTTCTGGCTAGTTTCTTGGCTAACTATTTTGGCGGGTTTCTTGCTAGTTGTTCTGTGACTCGGTATCTTGTGGCTTTCAGTGTATTATGTCCGTTGTATTCTAGAGGTAGTAGTGAGGGAGGCAGGGGGGGGGGTGTAGCAGCAGCAGGGAGGGTTGTGGCAGTAGAAGGAAGGAGAGGCAGGGAGGTTAGTGTTAGCCTCCTCCTCGTTTACTGTGTATCATAATATTTACCTCGCCACCCTCTGTTGACCCCACGTCACTCATCGCTCCTTGTTTATACCCCGTGAGGACGATGGCAAGGCCTGGGAAGACGAGGAAGAGATAGTCGAAGGGAAGGAGGTGAATGGTGAGGACTGGGAGCAGGAGGAGGAACAATATACAGGGTGGTGCAGGACACTATACAGTTCCTCTGCGTCATCTTGCTTCTACTGCCTCAAGAAACATTTAGATAATCATCCAGATAGTTATCTTTATAAGTCCTCCCTGTTGTCTCCAGTAACCTACCTTCTGTTATTATTACCGCCATTACATTTACTGTATACTCCAGTAATGTACTTTTTTACCTTAGCAATGTTTGAGGAGTTTTCTCACCTGTCATAATGTTTACTGTTTTTAATGAGGATCAATTGACATTTTTCTCTCCAGGTTTAACGTTTGTTGTCTCTCCCTTACAGCTCGTGGTCGGAGGAAGGTTGCCGTGTGCTGCGGTACAACACCACCCACACGGTGTGTGAGTGTGACCACCTCACTAACTTCGCCGTACTCATGGACGTGCACGCCACGCCCCTGGCCTACCCTCACCAGCTCGCCCTCTCCATCATCACCTACGTCGGCTGCGTCATCTCCATCGTGTGTCTTCTTCTCGCTACTATTGTCTTTCACGCCTTCAGGGGCCTCAAGGTGAGTTGATACAGGTGTTTAAGGAGGCGTGACGCGGATTATTGTGTTGACGTCGGCGGCTCGAGCGGGATTTATTCTCGAGTGGAGGTGATGAGAGGTGAGGCAGGGGTCCTCGTCACCCTGTTGTTGTAAGGCTTTGTCTTAGTTTATTTATGACGGGCGAGATTTATGAAGGAAGACTTTTAAGGTGTAAGTATGGCTGTAGAGGAGTGTTTGGGAGGCAGGTGAGGGCAAGGGAGTGTTATCACGGTGTTATCTTAAGGATCTGTAGTGATGAAGGTGTTGAGACGCGGCTTGTCACCAGATCCACCTCTCCACTACACAAACACGAGGGTCCTCCACTCTCCCAGACATTCATTCTTTATGTTTAACAGCTCGGTGGTGGCAGCGGGACACACAAACACCTCTACCACCACACATGTTCACTACAATAAACAGTTGAATCACTTGTCCACGCACCGTGTAGTGACGTGTGTGTTAACTCGGAATGTTATGGTTTTTTCATCACCGTCAGAGCCCTCACCAGCGCCTCACCATACACCACCAGCTGTAGTAACCCACAAATGAACTCGAATTATCTTGGCTACAAAATAATACACATATAAATTTCACACAATAGTAGATATACATAATACATTATATTACACATAATGTAATACATAAAAATAATAATACGCATTACCCATAGAACACATATAATTTGTATGATAATTTTTTGGACACCTTGAGTTCCTATACATTACTGATTGCCCCCATAAATAGGAGAGACTGTTAGTAATTAGTGAGTAATGGAGTGGTTATATAGCTTTGTTCTCAAGTCTGATTAACTCCTTGAATACGAAGACACTGTTCCCAAGGGGTTAATATTACCTGAAGTTACCTGAAACACCTGATACCAACCTTATACTTCCTGATACCAACCTTATACATCGTGATAACCAGCATTATTGACCCTGATAACCATGTCCTAATACCACTAAGTTAACCATACCTCCTCCTCCTCCCCACAGAGTGACCGAACGACCATCCACAAGAACCTATGTGTGTGTTTGTTGATCGCTGAGACCGTGTTCCTGGCGGGGGTGAACCAGACGGACAAGCCGGTGGTGTGTGGGGTGGTGGCCGGCCTCCTCCACTTCTTCTTCCTCGCTGCCTTTGCCTGGATGTTCATGGAAGGTGAGAATAAGTTACCTGGATGGTGAAGAGATCTGCAGTGCTTTATGGGATATGGTAGTTAAATATGGTTCATGGTCCACACATCAATAGCCCATGGTTCATAAGTATGGTTCATGGTCCACACATCAATAGCCCATGGTTCATAAGTATGATCCATGGTCCATACATCAACAATCCATGACTCATACATTTACGGCCCATGGTCCACACACATACGGCCCATGGTTCACAGATCAAGAACCCATGGCCCCCCACACATACAGCCCACATATCAACACCCTAGGACCCACACACACGGTCCATGATCAACACCTCGGGTCTGGTACACTTGTGGGCGGGCGTAGTAAGGCAGGTAAGGGGTGAGGTTCGTGCTTGGAGTTGCAGTGGGAGGTTTGTCCAGCTGTCAGGCCGTGTCACCCAAATTTACTCTTAACACCTACTCTCCTCTCTCTCCCTCTCCCTCAGAAAAAACGTCTTGGGGTTGTTTTCCTTCTTCCTCCTCCCCTTCTTTTTCTTCTCCTCATTCTCTTCTACTTGTTTTGTCTTTGTTTCTTTTGGTATTTTCTTTGTTAGTTATTTATTGTTATCACTTCTTCCCCAACACTGTTTTAATTATTGTGTCATCTTGTAGTGCCTGAAGTGATGTCATGTCCCGGGATAATCTATTGTCTTGTACTAACACACTTACATGTCCGTACTTACATGTTTAATCAACATTGTTCCAGTACAAACACAAGCCTCACTCCCTACTCGGTCGTGTATTAACAGTGCTCCAGTACAAGTCGTCAGCACTACTAACCCGCCGGTGTCCTCCTCCTTCAGGGTTCCAGCTGTACGTGATGCTGGTTGAGGTGTTTGAGGCAGAGAAGCCCCGGGCCCGCTGGTACTACGCTGCCGCCTACGGGTTCCCGGCGGTGGTGGTAGCTGTCAGCGCCGTCGTCGACCCCTTCAGCTACGGCACCAACGACGCCTGTTGGCTCCGCACCGACAACTACTTCATCTTCGCCTTCGTAGGGCCTGTCATCGCCGTCATTATCGTAAGTACTGACACAAGTTCCTGGTTGTCGGGGGGAGGGTGCTGGTGACGGAGGAGCGACTCACTCACATCCGACTAGTGAAGGTGGTGAGCGAGGAACTATGTGGTGGTGAGCGAGGAATGGTCGCCCTGGACGATGAGGGATGTTGAAGGTGAACGTAAAATATCTTACCGAGATTAAGATGGTGATGGGTGTTCGTGCTGCCTCTGGATCGTTGTGCTCAGTGTCAACATTGCAATACCTGGCTGGTTGTCGTCAGGTAAGTGGAGCACCTGACTGGATCACTACATATATCCGCTTAAGGGTTTTTCTACCTGGTATGACCTGGTATGACGGCACCTAGTTTAGTTTAGCAGTAGAATTTAATATTATTCCCTATACTGTAGCTTGTGTCAGGGGTAAAGGGGGTTTCTTTAACCTCGGTAAGAACCTTAGAATATGGCCAAGGAATCTTAAAATAGCCCGATTATTTTGTTTTATTTTATCTAAACTAATATATCAAGCGTTCATTAACTACTTACTGGTCGTATTAGCCGAGGCGTTTAAATGCTTGATGTTTACCTGACGTGGCTGAAGGTGGAGCTGGTGTTGGGATTTACTGCCAGGCCCCTGATTATCTTGTATTGGTCCCATCCAGCCCTCACGCCCTCCCGTCCAGCCCCCACTCCCTTCCGTCCAGAACCCATGCCTTCCTACCCAAAACCACACGCCCTCTGTCTAGCCCCGCCCACCGTCCGAGCCCCGCCCACCGTCCGAGCCCCGCACCCACCCTGTACAATTTTATCCGACCATTTAGCTCCATGGCGGCCAGTGTGCTCGGATTTTATGTCCATATTTATTCGTAATGGAGTGTGGGATAACATCTGGTTGTGAGCCGACCCGACACTGTGCTGCGGGGGTGGGGAGGTAAGTGAGGGTGTGTTAGGGAGGCTGTGAGGTGTACCGGGGAGAACAAGTGGGGTGGGTGGGTGTTGTATCGTGTGTGTGCGCGCAGGAGAAATAAATGTGTCGTGTATTACAGAGTCAACACAGTGCCCCTCCCAGCCTTGTCTACACGGGGGTCAGGTTACCCTCACATGCTTCTGTTACCCTCCACAAGTACCCTCCTCCTCCCTCCACTAGTGTCCTCCTCCTCCCTCCACTTGTCCTCCTCCCTCCACTCCTCCCTCCACTTGCCTGCCCTCCTCCTCCCTCCCTAGTGTCCTCCTCCTCCCTCCACTTGTACCCTCCTCCTCCCTCCACTTGTGCCTTCCTCCTCCCTCCACTAGTGCCCTCCTCCTCCCTCCCTCCCTCCCTCCCTCCCTCTCCTCCACTCATAAGTTTGAAAGTCGTTGATAAATTCATTGTTACGTTTACCTGTGTAATTTTTTGTGACATCACCTGAAGGCTGCTGAGTGTCACCTGCTGTTCACCTGAGTAATGCTCCTCCCCTAATTGATTGCGAAGAAACACATTAATAAAAGAATGAAAGCGACAAAGGTGACAGAAACTTTATATGTGTTTTTATATTTGATTTAATTCATCTATTAAAATTCAACTTAGTAACTATAATTACAGTAATCGTATGAGAAACCATTAGTGAGATTATCAGTTAGTTAATTAAGAGTAGTTGAGGCGAGTACAGGAGCAGTTATAAATATTTCAACATAACAGCCCATCATCATGAAGGGCCGCGTGACGTCATCAAGGGAGTGTTTGTCACCTCAGTGAAATGTATTTTATTTTATTTATTTTTTTTTAGTTTTGTTTTGAGGCGAGAATTTTATGGCCCATTCAACTGACTGTGTGGAATGTTTGTGGTGTTTAGGTTGTGTCTGACCCGCGTTTGGCGTAACCCCAGCTTGGCCTGACCCCAGTTTGACCAGATCTCAGCTTAATAAGATTCGACTCCAGCTTGGTCAACACAGGAGGTCCAACCAGATCTTACCTTAACTAAACTTGACCCCAGCTTGACCAGCATCCAGCAGAGGACGTATGCCGGGAGGTGGGGGTCCTCGATGCTGGGGTCCTCGATGCTGGGGGTCCTCGATGCTGGAGGTCCTCGGTGCTGGGGGTCCTCGGTGCTGGGGTCCTCGGTGCTGGGGGTCCTCGGTGCTCCTCGATGCTGGGGGTCCTCGATGCTGGGGGTCCTCGATGCTGGGGGTCCTCGATGCTGGGGGTCCTCAGTGGGGTCGTAGGGGTGATGGAGTTGTGACGACAGACAGGATTATAAACCCAACTTGTAACTGGATTCCCACTTTTTTTTCTTCTCCTCGTCCTCTTGAGAATTGATATCCACGAAGAGGAAAACTCGACCTTGTGGACTAGAAGACCACAAGGGTGAGAGTTGCCTGAGGGTGTTGTGTAGTGTGGAGGAGGTTCTTCTTGCCCCGACCCTCGCGGTGGAGTCGTCACGCTATTGGCTGTGAAAAGATTGATATGTTGACACAGACACGGGTTTTAGAACAAAGAAACCAAACGCTGCCTCCTCCTTCTCCTCTTATTGCTCCTCCTTCTCCCTTTTCCTCTTCCTTCTCCCTTCTCTTCCTCTTCCTTCTGGTGGTCTATCAACAGAAAGGGGCAAAAAAATCTCCCTCTGGTACTAAGGGTTCAGCTCGAGGAGTTTTACGGAGGAGAATTAAAAAAAAATTAATGATCTTTCTCAGCTTTTAAAAAACAGTTGTGTAGTGTAGACTCTGCCTTAATGGACGGCGCTTAAGTGTTGTTGTCTAGTGTAGAAATTGATTTAGTGAACAAGGCTTTAATGTTGATGTCTAGCGTAAAAACTGACAGCGAGAAGGTGCTTAAAAAAGGTCAAGGAGTTTGACTTAGCGAGGAGCGTTTATAGAAGAAGTTGTTGTCTATAGCGAGCGGAGGAGCCAAGACTGTGTGACAGACCCGGTGTTTAGAGATACCTGGTTGTTGAGTAGCGTCTCGTAATACCTAAAGGAACGATAACAACAGACTAAAAAAAGAAGGGGGTAGAGGGTGGCAAGTTACGGCTACTCAAAACAGGAGGAAGAAGGAAGAGGAAAGGGAGGAAGGGGATAGGAAGAAAGGAAGAGGCAGAGGCGAAAGGAAGAGGAGGGGAAAGAAGGATGGGGAGAGGGATGAAAAGAAAGGAAGGAAGAGGAGGGTAGGGAAGGAGATGAAGAAAGAGGAGTGACGGCACAGCGTAAGCCAGTATCGTTGTGGTGTGAGGAGGTGGTGGTATTCAGTTTCTCCCGCCAGAGGGTGTTGTGTCTCCTTATTGTTTCACGTCGTTTTGTAGAGGGTGTTGAGGGCGGGCTAGAACGGGTGTAGAGGGCGGGACTGAGTGAACTTGAACGGGTGTAGAGGGCGGGGCTGGATGGGGCGGAACGGGTGTAGGATGGCGGGGCTGGCTGGGGGCGGAACGGGTGTAGAGGGCGGGGCTGGGTGGGGTGGAACGGGTGTAGTGGGCGGGGCTGGGTGGATCATACTGGGGAAGAATGTGTGTGTCATTACTGTTGTTCCACCTCTCGAAAAAGACTGACTGAAGGTTTGCTTTCGTCGAGGGCAGGTGGGTGTAGGTGTGGGGGAGGGTGTAGGTGTGGAGGTGTGTGGGGGAGGGTGTAGGTGTGGAGGTGTGTGGGGGAGGGTGTAGGTGTAGGTTAGGGATGAACTGACTAACCAAACACACACAAAAAATAATAACGTGTTGTGAAAAGTTGCTAAAATCAACACAACGAACATTGCCTCCAGCAGCTGAGATAACACGCCTAACCTGGCCTAACCTACCACCTGCCAAACACTTGCACAGGTAATCACTCAGGTACTCATCAAGGTAGCCAGTCAGGTGGTCACTCAGGTACTCAACCAGGTAGCCAATCAGGTGTACACTTTAGATAATAAGACTTACCCAATCAGATCGTCTATGGCATAAAACATTAATTATTTTGTTCTGTTATAAATATAGTACAGTGGAACGCTAGATACATGTATATATTTTATAACAATTTGAATATACCACAAGATAATTTGACCCAGCGAGTGTGTTGATAGAGCCACGTACACGAGGATATTAGTGTGTGTGTGTGTGTGTGTGTGTGTGTGTGTGTGTGTGTGTGTGTGTGTGTGTGTGTGTGTGTGTGTGTGTGTGTGTGACAGATATAGAGTTAGGTGTTGGGTTTCCTTCCTGTTTGTCTCTCTGTCTTCCGGTATCTGTTTTCTACCCGTCTGTGGCTCACCGGGTGGTCACTGTGTTGAGGGAGGGGTAGTGGAGAGAGGAATAAAGTGGGGAGAGGAAGATAGTGGGGGGATGAAGAGAGAGAGGGGTAGTGGGAGAAGGGAGGGGAGGGGGGAGAAGGGTGGGGGGAGGGCAGAGGAAGGGAGGGGTAGTGAGGGGATGAAGAGAGGGGGGTATCTGTCTTATCATATATTGCTTCCTCCCTTCTTCCTCCCCTGTTCATCTCTCTCCCCTCTTCCTCCTCTCTTCATTTTCCTCCCTTCTTCCTCCCTTCTTCATCTTCCACCCCTCTTCCTCATTCTTCCTGCTCCTCCCTTTCCACTTTCTATGTGTCCTCCATGAGCAAGAGTTGATGGTACTATTACATCTACAACTCTACTACTTTTCTTCTACTGTTCACTTATTATTTCTACCACCACCATTATTATACCACTACCATCTACTACTACTACTATTTTTTTTTCAAATTGGCCTCCAGCCTCCCCCAATAGCCACACCTTCGCCGCCATTTTATTACCTTAAAATTAAATATCCTAATACATAAGTAGTTACCCTAGCTGTGTTGAGTTAGTTGAGCCGCAGATCTATGCGGCATTCAGTGACTGTTGCCTCATAGTCAATATCTGCAGCAGTTGTCGGCTTTGGGGCCGATGCTCTCGTTCCCCTGAGGCAGAGCAAAGCCGATCTAAGGAGAGAGAAGGACAGCCGACATCTCATCCAGGCTGTAACATAACTTCTGGGCTGCTGCTTCTGTTCGGATAACACCTCCGTGAGTCTGGCATAGAAGCATCTTGCACTTGGTCCCATCCCACCA